AACTGGTTTACAAGGCTAGTAAGGTGAACAATCTGTAGGTGAAGTTACAGATCTAGTGAGATGACAACTGAATTACAAAACTAGTAAGGTGAACAATCTTTATGTTAAGAATAGTATGTAGCTGAAGTTGCAGATCTAGTGGGATGATAACTGGATTACAAAACTAGTAAAGTGAACAATCTGTAGGTGAAGTTACAGATCTAGTGAGATGACAACTGGATTACAAAACTAGTAAGGTGAACAATCTTTATGTTAAGAATAGTCTGTAGCTGAAGTTACAGATCTAGTGAGATGACAACTGGATTACAAAACTAGTAAGGTGAACAATCTGTAGGTAAAGTTACAGATCTAGTGAGATGATAACTGGATTACAAGACTACTAAGCTGAACAATCTTTATGTTGAGAACAGTCTGTAAGTGAAGTTACAGATCCAGTAAGATGTCAAATGGATTACAAGACTAGTAACGTGAACAATCGTTATGCTTAGAACAATCTGTAGGTGAAGTTGCAGATCTAGTGGGATGATAACTGGATTACAAGATGAGTAAGGTGAATAATCTTTATGCTGAGAACAATCTGTAGGTGAAGTTACAGATCTAGTGAGATGACAACTGGATTACAAAACTAGTAAGGTGAACAATCTGTAGGTGAAGTTACAGAGCTACTGAGATGTCAAATGGATTACAAGACTAGTAATGTGAACAATCGTTATGTTGAGAACAATCAAGTAGATGATAACTGGATTACAAGACTAGTAAGCTGAACAATCTGTAGGTGAAGTTACAGATCTAGTGAGATGACAACTGGATTACAAGACTAGTAAGGTGAACAATCTGTAGGTGAAGTTACAGAGCTAGTGAGATGGTAACTGGATTACAAGACTAGTAAGGTGAATAATCTTTATGATGAGAACAGTCTGTAAGTGAAGTTACAGAGCTAGTGAGATGTCAAATGGATTACAAGACTAGTAATGTGAACAATCGTTATGTTGAGAACAATCTAGTAGATGATAACTGGATTACAAGACTAGTAAGCTGAACAATCGTTATGTTGAGAACAATCTGTAGGTGAAGTTACAGATCTAGTGAGATGATAACTGGATTACAAGACTAGTAATGTGAATAATCTTTATGCTGAGAACAGTCTGTAGGTGAAGTTACAGATCTAGTGAGATGATAACTGGATTACAAGACTAGTAACCTGAACAATCGTTATGCTGAGAACAATCTGTAGGTGAAGTTACAGATCTAATGAGATGATAACGGGATTACAAGACTAGAAAGCTGAAAAATCGTTATGCTGAGAACAATCTGTAAGTGAAGTTACAGATCCAGTGAGATGACAACTGGATTATAAGACTAGTAACCTGAACAATCGTTATGCTGAGAACAATCTGTAGGTGAAGTTACAGATCTAGTGAGATGACAACTGGATTACAAGACTAGTAAGGTGAACAATCTTTATGTTGAGAACAATCTGTAGGTGAAGTTACAGATCTAGTGAGATGATAACTGAATTACAAGACTAGTAACCTGAACAATCTTTACGTTGAGAACAATCTCTAGGTGAAGTTACAGATCTAGTGAGATGGCAACTGGATTACAAGACTAGTAACCTGAACAATCTTTACGTTGAGAACAATCTCTAGGTGAAGTTACAGATCTAGTGAGATGGCAACTGGATTACAAGACTAGTAAGGTGAACAATCTGTAGGTGAAGTTACAGATCTAGTGAGATGATAACTGAATTACAAGACTAGTAAGCTGAACAATCGTTACGTTGAGAACAATCTGTATGTGAAGTTACAGATCTAGTGAGATGATAACTTGATCATAGAACTAGTAAGAATACCAGTTTTAAAATAAGCTTGAACTTTACCTCAAGCAACAAACGAGGAGATCGGTACTGAGCTACTATTGCCTGGGCAACCTCACTGCTAACATTTAGAAACTGCTGAATCTGTTGCTGCCACAACTTTAGTAGTCCATCTCCATTTTTCTCCACCTTAACAGTCCCAATGCTGTCTGCCTGAGCAAACCAAGCAAACCCATTCTGTTGATTTCTCTCTTTTCTAGCAGGGAAAAGATTACATTAACAGTTTCATATACGTTAAAGTTTCATATACACTTGTTTTAAAATGTGGGAAGAAAAAAAATCTTGGCAATCTTACTCTAAAATATCAAATCTGCAATTATCATATATTTATATCATGTTACTGGAGGATTTTCCACTTACTAACAATTCTTTACAATGTTTTACAAGATTTCAAAATTTTGATTAAAGGGGGCGACAAAAATCTAGTTCTTAGTAGTACTGTACATAGAATACAACAACCACTGAGGGACAACAAAAATCTAGTTCTCAGTAATACGGTACATATTAGAAAACAACAAACACTGGTGGGACAAAAAATCTAGCTCTTAGTAGTACTATACATATTAGAACACAACAAATTCTACAGGAACAACAAAAATTTAGTACTCAGTAGTACTGTACATATTAGAATACAACAAACACTAGAGGAGCAACAAAAATTTAGTTCTCAGTAGTACTGTACATATTAGAGAACAACAAACACTAGAGGGACAACAAAAATCTAGCTCTTAGTAGTACTGTACATATTAAAATACTAGAGGGACAACAAAAACTTAGTTGTGGGTAGTACTGTACATATTAGAATACAACAAACA